GAATATTTCAATGTTGACCAAGTTTGATTGTTAGTTCCGTGAGATGAATCATGGTGAATACCCTCCCAATTTCAACTGTGCCTGGGCCTATGAAACGCTGGTCACAGATCCCACAAGACATATGCCTTATCTTAGGAAACAAGTGGAATCTCTTGGGGGTCGCTTTATCCGCCAACGTGTCGAGTCTCTCCAGGAGCTGTACGAGATGTTCCCAGAATCACGGGTATTCATCAATGCTAGTGGTTGGGGCAGTAGGACCCTGACGGATGTGCAAGATGACAAGTGTTTTCCGGAGCGAGGGCAGAATGTGTTTTTGGCCACTGATCAATGCAACACACTCCACTTCCGAAATGGCAAGGAGTATACCTATGTGATTCCTCGGCCTTTATCCAAGGGGGTAGTGCTAGGTGGGGTGAAACAACAAGGCAACCTGTATGAAAATTCCTTGAATCCTTCCCAAAACTCTAGGCCAAGTTAACCCTTCCCAGGTCACCTGAAGTCGACATGGATATCGCGAGAGATGAGATTGCCCGTGCGCATCGATTAGCTCCTGAGATTGTTCCCGAACATCCAGCTGCAGATAAGGTGAGCCATATTATTGGAATTCGACCATCTCGAAAAGGAGGGTTCCGTCTGGACTCTGAACAAAAGGACAACCGGGTGGTGTTATCGGCGTATGGGTTTGGAGGTGGTGGTTATGCGTTTTCATATGGGATTGCCGATGCGTTGGTCAAGATGGTGGAGGCAGCTGAGCGTGAAAATGTGATCTTGTAGAAGAAAAGAGAGATCTCAGGGAAATGACCAATCACACTAGACAGTTCAATGAAAACTAAACGTTTTAATACCGAGTTATTGCCGATTGACATTAATAGAAGCTTACTGTTATATACATTAGTTAACTAGTTAACATAACTTACATAGCCACATAACTAGTTATAGAGATCTACAAGTCTATTAATATACATAATACAAGATGTAGCAGATTACGTTCCTTTCCATCGTATATTTATCATCTCATCTTTTCCTTCTCCATTTTTTTCCCCTAATCCACTTTGGTCTCGATTCCCCGGCCTTTTCTCCCGTCCACTCAATTTCCCGGACTCTCTTCAGCCCTTCAAATCCCGTGAACGAGTTAAAGAAATCCTTATCCTTATCCCTCTGAAATCTTTTTGAATGACATCCTCACTTCCCTCCAGGCTGTTAGCAATATGCCTGTGGATGAGATGCTCCACTTGAGCATCACTGAACGCCCTATGAACAATGCCATGGTGATCACCCCTCCAGCCGAGAGTGACTTGAATCTGGAGAGCAAAGTCCTTGAACAGCCTGCCGGATCCTTAAGTCGCATCTATCGATTGACACCGTGAGAATCCCCCTTGAAAACCTTCCAAAGGATATTATTAACCCTCGCAGGAAGCCCACTCTCGTATTAAATGGCGCCCTACAAATCGTGGAAGTGTCCAATAGTCATGTGGAAGTCTTCAAGCGCCCACGAGACCAACTCTTGGCAGCGAATGTCTACGATCTTCCCCCCTCCATCCTTCCCGCCCCCGATATCGCCTCCTTAAGTGGTGTTGTCGGGACTGCCGTATCAACTCGCGAAGTGCAGGTCATTAAGCGTGTTCATGTGGCACAGCTCGACGCCTTCTTTTCACTCAGCGTGACACCCATCTTTGAAGATGATTCCCTCACCTACCTACTCTTGGAAGCCCAGCGGACCAAGCGTCAACGGAACAGGACGGATTCCATCAGCGAACAAATGTATCTCAACGAAACCTACAAAATATTGGTCGACACCGTAAGAGATTACGCCATTTTCATGCTGGACACGCGTGGCTATATTGCGACTTGGAATTCTGGCGCCGAGATTTTGAAGGGATACACGTCATCCGAGATCATCGGCCAGCATTTCTCAGTATTTTACGGTCGCGATGACTGCGAAATGAACAAGCCCGCCCGTGAGCTGGAGGTCTGTGTAAAAGAAGGAAAAGTGGAGGATGATGGCTGGCGTTACCGCAAGGATGGCACCCGGTTTTGGGCCAATGTCATGATTACCGCCATCTACCAGAATGGCAGCCATGTGGGATTTGTGAAAGTGACCCGCGACATGACCGAACGCTGTGCCGCAGAGGCCCATTTGATTGACGCCTTTGAAGAATCCGCCAAGCTCAAGTCCGACTTCTTGGCCAACATGTCTCACGAATTGCGCACCCCGATGAATGGAATGCTCTTGGCTTTGACAATGCTACTGAGGACCGAGTTGACGGATGACCAGCGGGAATTCGCCTGCATTCTTGAAGACTCAACCTCCATCTTGCTGCAGGTCATCAATGATGTGCTGGATTATTCCAAGCTATCGTCGGGAACCTTCCCCTTGAACTCAGACATGGTCAACATCCCCAACGTGATCTCTGCGGTGGTCCGGAATTGTCAGTCAGCGCTCAAGCCTGGGGTCCAAATCATGAGCGTTGTTAGTGACGACTTTCCTCCAAACCTCAAAGGGGACCCCCTACGATTCCGCCAAGTGCTGCAAAATCTGGTCACCAACGCAGTCAAGTTCACTGAGAGTGGTTATGTTCGGGTTCATGCCACTTATGCCATCGATGAAAAGGACCCTGAGATGTATGTGATTTCCACGCAGGTAGTGGACACTGGTATCGGCGTACCTGAAGATGCCGCGAGCATCCTCTTCACCCCCTTCACGCGATTCGCGGACACAGCCGCCAAAAGATACCAAGGTACTGGCCTTGGTCTATCGATATGCAAGAGCCTGGCTGAGTTGATGGATGGAGCGGTTGGATTCCATGCCAACCCCGATGGACCCGGTAGTGTATTCTGGATGACAGCTAAAATGGCTCGCCTTACCTCGCCGGTGTCTCCAGTGAAGCCGAGGTTGCCACCGGCTACGCCTGAGGCGTTAGATAACTCCGCGTCACTGCAGAAGGTCGCCCCACACAAACACATTCTCCTCGTCGAAGACAACAAGGTCAACCAACTTATTATGTTAAAGCTTCTCAGCAGCCTGGGGTTCAAGCGCGTCGATGCTGCCTGGGATGGAGCGGAAGCAGTGCGTATGGTCAAGCAGAAGCCTTTGGCCTATAATGTCATCCTGATGGACATCAACATGCCGATCATGGACGGATTAACCGCCACAGAGCACATTCGACGGATGAAACTCGATGTGCCCATCCTTGCGTTGACAGGCAACGCTCTCAAGGGAGACGCAGATATGTATCTGGCCAAGGGGATGGACGATTACATCGCTAAGCCCTTGCATCGGCAGCAGCTGGTGGATTTATTGTGGAAATGGTGCGGATCCTGAGTGATTGCTTATCTCAAGCCGGGGATTGTGACGCGCGATTACCATATCGTCAGTCTGCCATCTTTTGATGCGATCAAGGCACGGCAGTTGAAACAGACCCGTGTTGGCGCCATGGACGAGAGAATCTGCGGTCGAATCGTCAAGTTGAGAACTTTCAACCACATCCCCTTAGCGATGCGGCAAAAGCTGCCATTTTTCACCTGAGCCTTTCGGACAACGGCCCAACAAATGGGCCTTGAAACCACATCCTTACGATGCTTTGAGTTCTGGCACTTCTTTCATATTGAAACCTGCAGTACTCCGCTAATCATCTGCACTCGAAGATCGATGGCAATGCGATCCACCGACATACTAAAGTCCCCTGCACATGAAATATCCCACGAGCTAAATTGCTCGCATGACTTATGGCTGGAGAAGGGCACATGCAATTGTGTTTCTGCCACCGACGTTGCAACCACGCAGCCTTGGGTGGTTTTCTGTATCAACTCTTTAATACCACTCATGAGATCATCCCCCTATGTCGAGTTTAGGTAGCCGTATAGTGGACGGATGACGGTTGCGATCTCGACACAAGAATGGTCATCCGTAGTGTCCATGGGGTTGGAATAGCAGCCAATCCTTTTAATCACCGTAAATTGATACAAAAAAGTACTCTGCAGAGTGCATAAGGGGCTTTTACCATTTGACCACCTGGGCAAGTATTCCCAATAATTCCACTGTCTGAATTCCATGGAAATATGACGCTTTAACATTAACAGTCCGTCTTAAGCGTGGGCCTGGTCTCAATTCAATTCCTCTATTCCTGTTTTTCACAAAATGTCAGAATGCATAGCTTCCTCCCCCCACTTCCACCAGATAGCCCTTGATGCCTAGTGTTTCAAGCCTTCTGCGTTTAATCATGCTGGTTGCATTTTCTGACCTCTTTACCAGACCAGTCAATCCCTCGGGTATTTTTCTCCCGAGGTAGCACGCTGAGGATCTTTTATCTTCGCATGAGGTCATGGCTATGCTTCCGACGCAGCGTTTTGTTCACTCGGACTGTAATTGCTAATTTCCAGTTCGCTCGGAGGTTTGGAATCAATGGAACCTGATCTGCGATTGAAGACAAAGATACATCTTTTCAAATGTCTTGACTCGACTTGATGGATTGTAGCGGCGTCATTTTCGAAAGTCGCCGAAGAGCGCAACCCCATCAGGGAAGAGAACCCCATCAGGGAAGAGATACTCTCCGTGTCAATGATGTTCACATGGTCCCCTGTGTGACCTGCCCCGACGGTCTCTAGCCTTAACCTTCCGATGGGCGTCGATTTGGTTTGAGCTTGTGGATGGATGGCCCCCAAGAACTTCACGCGGATGGTCAGCCCTCAGCGAGATACTTATAGGCCAAGACGGAACTGATATCGAGGCCGCCCAAAGTTAATGACAAGCAGGATAAGCTCTATCCTTACCCCGTTTGATTTCCCGAGGTCTTAGCATCTTTGGTCGACTGGCTGCTTTCCTCTTGGGTGATCTCAGTCCTCCGGATTCAAAGTCCTCGACACTGAAAGCCCCATCTAGGCCTACACCGGAAGACGGAAATGGTATAAAGTATGCCTTGTCCGCCCTGGGACTTTTTGACTTGATCCGCAAGTTCGAAGGTGGAAAGCTGAATTAGCAAACTCCCGCGAAGACTGTTACCATGAAATCCTCCACTATGCTTTGTGCCCTGGTGGCCAGCGCGATGGCAGTGCCAACGGCTCATAATTATCAATTACACGAGCGTCGTGGTTCCATCCCAAAATCTTGGCTTGAAGGCAAGAAGGTTGACGGAAATGTGTCACTACCTGTGCGAATCGGGTTGATCCAGTCCAACATAGACTATGGCCATGAGCTACTCATGGACCTGTATGAACTTGCACAATGGACCTCCCACTGTCTGAAACTGAGATGGATCTGTTTAGGTCTAACCCGTCCTCGAGCCGCTACGGACAGCATCTGTCCGTCGATGAAGTGCACGACCTGTTTACCCCCACTGAAAAGAGTGTGAATGATGTGCGTTCTTGGCTGGAGTCGGCGGGTATTTCCAAAGACCGCATCACGCAGTCAGCCAACAAGCAATGGATCCAGTTTGACGCCGATGCCGAGGAGCTCGAGGATTTGCTGCACACAGAGTACTATGTCTACTCACATACTGAAACGGGTCGATCGCACGTGGCCTGTCGCGAGTCAGGCTGTTATTTGGGTTGGATGTACAGTCTTGCTGACCCCCTGACGATAGATATCATCTCCCGAGCTCTGTGCGTGAGCATGTCGACTATGTCACTCCAGGAATCTCTCTGCGGGAGGTGACTGGTGTCCGGAGGTTGACCAATAAACAGAAACGCTTCGACGATGGGATTCCCCCTATTATTGAGCCGATTCCCTTACCAATTGAAACGCTGTCGAGCGAAGCTTCGTCCTTTTGCGCCCAGGCCATCACACCCCAATGCATTCAACGTAAGTGATCCGAGTATAAATCCCCATATATTGGCTATGCTGATAAGCCTATAGAGATGTATAATATCAGCGAGGGTCACTCTGCCGTAGAAGGAAATGAATTAGGGATCTTTGAGGGCATTGAGGATGTCTATGCCCAGGAAGATCTAAATTTATTCTTCTCGAGATTGTACTCGTATGTCGTCTTTAATCATCATTCATTGAGTTGATTGGACTTCGAATTGATGTCCCGGTAGGAAAATCCCCAATGGCACACACCCAACTCTGAAGCCAGTTGATGGTGGTCAGGCTCCTGCAAACACCTTCAATGCCGGGGCTGAATCCGATCTGGACCTCCAAATCTCCTACCCGATTATCTGGCCACAGAACTCCATCCTTTTCCAAAGCGATGATATGTATTACGAGCATCATTATAGGTTCCAAGGGTTCCTTAACACGTTCTTGGACGCCATTGATGGCTCGTACTGCAGTACCATCTCGCCTTTAGACCCTCCATACCCAGATCCCAATGAGGGGGGCTACAAGGGCTCCCTGCAATGTGGCGTGTACGACCCGCCCAAGGTCATCTCGATTTCATATGGCTCCGCCGAGGCAGACCTACCCATTTCCTATCAGCGCGACAATGTGCCGAGCTCATGAAGCTAGGTACAATGGGGGTTTCAGTAGTGGTCGCTTCGGGCGATTCTGGTGTGGCTGGACGTGGAGGCGATCCCACCCCCAGCAACTGCCTTGGTCTAGATGGTAGAATCTTTACTCCAGACTTCCCTGCCTCCTGTCCATACCTTACTGCGGTGGGAGGTACTGAAATTCCCACTGGTTCCTCGCCAGAAGACCACAAGGAGCAAGCAGTGACCAGGTTCCCGTCAGGCGGCGGCTTCAGCAACATTTATAAGGCGCCTGATTATCAGGCCCAGGCTGTTGCCGATTACTTTGCCTTGGCAAAGCCCCCGTACCCGTACTATGAGAGTGTGGACAACAGCAGCTTCGGCGATAATGACGGTATCTACAACCGGATCGGACGTGCCTATCCAGATGTGGCTGCTGTTGGTGACAATGTCATCATTTATAACAGAGGGATAGCCGTGTCGATTGGTGGGACATCGGCCTCTGCCCCTGTTTTTGCTGGAATCCTCACCCGCATCAACGAGGAGCGACTGGCCGCTGGCAAGTCCACTGTTGGGTCTGTTAACCCTGTGTTGTACGCTCACACGGAGGCGTTCTTTGACGTGACCAAGGGTACAAATGCGGGTTGCCAGACTGACGGGTTCTCTGCGGCCAAGGGGTGGGATCCAGTGACCGGGTTGGGCACTCCTAACTATCCGGAACTTTTGAGGGTTTTCATGGGCCAGTAAACTAGTTCCATAGGGAAATCTTTGCAGATACTTTAAGAACCGATTTACCTAGGGAATTTGATGCGATTTTATGGACGTTTTGGTGGAAACCAAAAGAATGAAAATGACTGCAATATTGTAGCATTCTCGGGTACAAGGCCGGAGCGATCGCACCGACAAAGCGTCCCCTGAGGGATTCAAAGCCCGACGTGCCAACCAAAATGTTAAAAGACACAAAAGAAATATTTCTGAAATCACGATCTTATATTTAAAATGACATCATTCATGAAATACCCCGCGGCTGGGATATCTGTTACTCTTATAGGGCATGTATATTCATATAGTTCCCTATTATAGTATTATAGTGGACGAATAAACAGATATAAATCAGTCAACTGCCAGTTCCAAATGTCAATATGACTTGCTTATTACTTTATATTCGATTTATATATTGTTCACCCCCTCGGTGGAGTCTACTCCGAAAGGGGTGGACAGTCCAGAATAGCCCCGCAGGAGAACTGGACATTTAAAGATTTGTCGTCCTCTCTTTCTTCTCTTTCTCTTCAAATTTGTTCAATTAAAAAAATCATGTCTCTCGGAAAGAAAGTCACCCTCAACTCTGGCCACCAGATCCCGTGCGTATATTCTGAAATGGTACTATGACTTGATTACTGACCCCCACGTTTAGCCAGCTGGGCTTTGGTACTTGGCAGTCTGCTCCTGGCCAGGTTGGTGAGGCTGTTTATGAGGCATTGAAGGCTGGTTACCGCCACCTGGTATGTACATATTCAACCATCTCCTTTTTCAAACTATTGGCTAACCCCTACCCCTCTTAGGATTTGGCAACTATGTATGCAGTACTAATTTCTCGATCATGAGACTCCCTTCCGTTGCAATTGCGCCGTGCTTACCACCTGTTCATAGCTACCAGAACCAGCGTGAGGTCGCCGATGGTATCAAGCGTGCTTATAACGATGTTCCCGGTCTGAAGCGCGAGGATATCTTTATTGTAAGCTAATCTATACCAACTCGGGATGTTACACAATTTCAGCAACTGACATCTCATTCTGCAGACCTCCAAGCTATGGAATAGGTACGCTTTCTCGAATTATATTCTTACACTACAAGATTATTGACTCTGCCTGTAGCCAGCACCGCCCGGAGGTTGTCGAGGCCGCTTTGGATGCCTGCCTTGCTGAGCTTGAGTTGGATTATCTTGATGTATGATTATCCCATTCAGTGACCCCATGAGCTATTACTGACAGAACCAGCTTTACCTTGTTCACTGGCCCGTTGCCTTCGCGAAGGGCGATTCATACTTCCCCCTCGTTGCCAACAGCGCCGTCGAGGGTGGTGATGTGGTCATTGATGACGGCGTCTCTATTGTGGACACCTGGAAGGGTAAGTGATCAACTTGAGCGGATTGGAAAACAAGACACAGCTAATTCCTCTTAGCCATGACCCAACTCCCCAAGAGCAAGGTTCGCTCCGTCGGTGTCTCCAACCACAAGATCGAGCATGTCCGTATCCTCCCTGTCCCGAAATATGCTGTACATTAGCTAACACACCCCGCAGCTCGAGGCTCTTATTAATGGTACCGGCGTCGTCCCTGCAGCTAACCAGATCGAGCGCCACCCCGTGCTCCAGAGCAATGACTTGATTGAGTACTGCCAACAGAAGGGCATCCACGTCACTGCTTACTCTGTACGTATCTACCATTTTGGCTTCATAGTGGACAAGCCCAGTACTGACTGAAGCTCTAGGCATTTGGCAACAACATGCTCGGCATTCCCCTGCTTATCACTCGCCCTGAGGTCAAGGAGGTTGCCGAATCTGTTTCAAAGCGCACTGGCCAGGAAGTCACCCCCGCACACGTCATGTAAGACTATGTACGCCCTTTCTGTGGTATCGTTTCGTGGAAGCTAACAGTACTCAAGTCTCGCCTGGTCTCAGGTCGGCGGACACAGTGTCATCCCCAAGTCGGTCACTCCTTCGCGCATTCGTGACAACTTCAAGGAGGTAGAACTCACCCCCGAGGAGGTTGAGAAGGTCAGCCTGCTGGGCCAGGACCGGAAGCGTTACAACATTCCTTATACTGCCAACAAGCCTCGTTGGAATATCAATATCTTCGGCGAGCCCGAGGAGAAACCCGCTGATCACAAGGTTATTCTGAGTGTTTAATTTCGCTGATAGCGATAGCCTCAGGCGCCTGCTGGTTGAATGAGAAATAGACATCCGTGTACTTTATGGAGTGTCAACAGAGCTTGCACCAGTGACGATATATCTAGCCGACTTGCTCAATAATCAACCGATCAAGGTCAACTGATCATCCCATATAAATGTCTTGACCGACGCCTGTTGAGTGTCTGATTCATGAGGCAGTAACTGTGCATTGCTAGTCAACTAACTAGTCCTGGAGTTCCAATATAAGACCCCTGTAGACTGTGTTCTAACATAATGATCACAAGGTGGGCTGGCGGTGGTGATATATGACTCGAATGCGAGGACCTCTTAAGACTACACAAGCCCATGCAGACACAATATTATAGACCGGATTCTCTTGGCCGTCAACAGTTGGCTTCTTTGAAACTCAAGAAAGAGGGCAAACCCCATCATTACAACATGTTGCGTTCAAAAAAAGGTCCCACGGGTATATATATGATTGCGAAAATCTGTCTGCCATGCCACTTTTGCCATCTCACGGTTGTTTCACTCGCTGTCAAGATCGTCTCTGCTCGTAAATCGGTCATGACCATCATTTCAGCCTGCATTGATTGGTCGCTGATGAGAGCTTGAAATTGGTCCTGCGTCCAACTCGTGACATTTATGATCCGGAGCAGATCCATTTGGTGCCTCGTAGATTGAGCGACTATCCAAGAATATTGCGGACCCAACTGGCTTTCGGGGTAAGAGAGTCTGCGGTACTGCTGGAGGTGATGGCTCTTTGTGAGGTGAGATGCTGCCTTGAGAAATGGGGGCTTTTTCATCATGTGCCACGACAGTTGATGGGGTTGATGAAGGTGAAACAGTTGATTGGGTCCCTTCAGCTCTCTGTCTCTGGCGCCTCCGCCGAAGCACAAACCATAGGCCCAGCACAATCAGAAGAACAGCCACGATTACACCCGCTGCAATCCCGCCCTTTGCTCCTGGACTCAGCCCAGACGAGCCACTAACGCAGGAATAGCCATTTTTGAAGACGTCGTTCGATTTTAAGCTGTCCAAACTACTGCATGACATGAAACTGCTGCCTGTGATCGTTGTCTGACCCTTGACCTGATCCAGAGAAGGTAGGGAGACGCTGGTATATTGATCAGTATCGTGGAAGGTGGGGGTTGATGGCTGTTGCAATGATCATACCTGTCGAATAATCCCGTCAATACCAGTTGTCCTTCAACTTCTTCCAATTCTTGAAGCCCAAGTGTTTTCAGGTTCGGATTTCCCGTAATTATTATACTCGAAGAAACTTGTGATAGCGAGCCCATGGCTATGGTGGTGAGTGAGTTGAGGTTACTCAGGGTGACACCTTCCTGCACACTGTCCAAATCAGGAATAATGATTTTCGTGAGTTCTGAGGCGCCCTCAGCACTGAACGCGCCCTTGATTTCCTCGACATTATTGATAGTAATCACTCCGCTGGCAGAAGAAGATATCGTAATGCTTCCGTCAAATGTGTCGCAGCTGGTCAACTTGTTCGCATCGATTTGATTTGAGATAATTACACTGCTTGAACCTATATGGAATGAGTTACACCGCTGGTCCGGCAAGGAAAAAAAAAAGCAATACAGAACTTACAGGCATCAGAATCAGCGACCGCTCTTTGCCATGCACTGGCAATTATCAGAAGGTAGATTACAATCATCCGTACGGTTGTGGTTTGCGGAGCTTCAGTTACTTAATTCACACGACCAGCCCTGAATGTTGTGCGTGCAAGGCACCGGGCATTCGCAGCTTTAAGGTAAATGATATGGAGTGAGGCGGAGTCGAAAGATTTCCAGCCTAAGGCGATTGTATGTCAATTGAGCTGCCGATCGTGACTGTTTATAGTGTTGATTGGTCAACTTGGGATTTTTTGTTGAACAATACCCGAGACCCACGGCCCAGGGGGATCGTTCTGCCCGGAAGATACGATGCGTGAGCCTAGTCTCGAAGCAATCTTCGCACTGTGGGAGATCTATTAAGTTCTTCAAAATGAAAGCTACTTGTCATGGATTAATCGTCACTCTCGGCACCGAAGCTGTGTTGCTATTCTTGTGTACTCCAATCCCGTGCGGAGAACTAGGGAATGGGGTAGGCAACAGAATTGGCGGCCCTTGGCGGGCTGGTCTGGTTCAAAATTCTCAACCCTCAAAGGGAGGAATCGAAAGAATTTACATAGAATAGATATGTACGGAGTAACCCTTTGGAATATTACAAGGGTGTATAATATCAAAAGACGTTATTCATGGATATCCATTTTATGCCCGAGGTCCTTGGTACCACGAGTGGCAAACCATGGAGGTAGAAAACTTTCTTGAATGACTCAGCATATGCGGGGAACCTTTTCCTGACATGTTGGGTTCTATATGAATCTCGATAGTCCTAAGTCAATATCCCTATGAGAATAAGCAAAGGCTGTGGAAGGTGTCGTCATCGTCATATACGATGTGTGATTCCCACCGGTGCATCGACTTGCACTCCATGTTTGCGACTTGGCCGGCCATGTCACCTCGATCCCCGCTTCCAGTTCAAGCCTGTCCACCATGTTTACCAAAAGAAAAATGGGGCCCCTGTCCGATGTGAGTTAGATTGGGATAAAGAGCAAGTTTGGGTGGACGTGTCACATCCCGGTAAGTATCCAGGACCTATGACCTTAGTCGTGTACTAATCTGGTCCAGTGACATTTGTCCTTGAGCCGAATGATGGAACGGCTGGAGACGAAGGTAGTGCTTTAGAGCACTACAACTCTCCAGTATCAGAGCAGATAGTACATGGTCGCGGTGGATGGACTCATGGTCTTCACTCGGAGGACATATATCAGGCTCAAGTTCCCACCCCAATTCATGGGAATCGATCCCGCCAGCACTCTATGAACAGTCCACCCAGCCTGCTGTCAGTCGATCGATATACACTGACTCTAAGAGAGGCATCACTGATGCGCTACTTTATCCAGAAATTAGCACCCTGGGTGAGCCATAAGCCAGTCTCGTGTTAGCATTACATATCTGATCATTATAGGCCGATGTTTGTGACATCCATTCACATTTCAGCACCGAAGTGCCAAGACGGGCATTGGAGAATAACATGGTCCTGCAAGCCATCCTAGCTCTGTCTGCGCGACATGATGCGATCTTGGCCAACGATAGTGACTGGGAGGCCTCGGCTTATCACGGGCAATGTTTGCAATTATTAATTGCGGCATTAGATCAAGCCGAGACAAATTGCGACGAGAACATGCTCATTACGGTCGTTATTCTTCGTATATATGAAGAGCTGGAGAACAAGGCCGACCAAAAGTTTCACCTGCTTGGGTCCAATCGATTGGTGAATCTTGTCACCAGCTCTGCGTCCTCTGGGGGGTTGGCAGAGGCAGTGAGCTGGCAGTTTTTGAGACAAGCTATATATGCATCGGTGGTACAGTATCAGCCCTTGCAACTCGACATGCAGAATTATGAACGGTCTTCAATGTTTCATCGTGACGACGACGCTGCTTGCGCTAATAGGATTATATATTATTGCGCCCGTATTCTACAAATGTGCTGCGATGCACCCGGTCATATCGTGGGACAAGATACCTGGCGACAAATATCGGATAGCGTGAAAGAGTGGAATCAAACCAAGTCCACAACCTGGCAGCCTATTCGGTACCAAGCATCGAGTGTGGCTACTGGTCGACCTTTCCCTGAAGTATGGATGATATCCCCGCCTGCAGGTATATCTTTAGACCCAATGACGACGCAACCTGAGATTACTGACCGTCGCCAACAGTGATCGGAATGCAATACTATCACTCGGCGTGTATATTTCTTACTTTGTCCGAATCTCAACCAGTCGATATCACCGATTATGAAAAGGCTCGTGCAAGGCGTTTGAAGGAGGTAGTCAAGCCGAAGCTCTGGGAAACTATGTTTACAGGCTGATATAAATCCCAGAAAACCATTGCTGACCATTTGGTCGTGGTTATTGGCCTGTCGCTGTCCAACGAAAGCGTCGAGAATGCCTATTTCATGGCATCACATTTGTTACACCGTTGTTCGTGTGCACTCCATAGTTCTTGACCCATTTGCCCGCTGACATGTCCTTAGTTGGCTACTGTCTTCGAAATGTAGTTGAGCAAGAAGGCTCATTGCGATTTCTCACTCGAGTAGAGAAAGTGCTGGGATGGCGCACTTCTTGGATGATGCGGGAGCTGGAGCATCAATGGACCGAGTTGGCTGCGTTTGACTCCTGGAACCCCTGAAATAGACAATAAATGTGTATCGGCCCAAGAAAACAAATGATTAGAGGTGAGAACGATTTGATTAGAAACAAGATTCCCTAGATTGATACCTCTCATCGGTCCTTCGGTATAAGCCTAGATATTTCTGTCTGCTGATCCCCCTCATTCCGTTCCCTCAACCAGCGTCAATTTGTTCGCCCTTGGTTGTTGGCATGCTTGCGGATGACGGAAACGAGCTGTTGTGAATATTCATGGTGGTTCTTGGAGCCCATCATCCAGATTATGACCTTTTTGCCGGTCTAGTTCAATTGTGGGTCACTGAGATGAACCGTGTGTTGCTTCCGCATTGTGGGATGGCTTCCTTTGAATGACAACAGGGATGACGGGCCGCTTTGATGGGACAATCTCGAATACAACAAGTTCACCGCCAGGCCTGGGCCAATGTTGCAAAGCAGCTGTTGCTCTTCAATGATCTCTGCTGATTTTGAGTCTTTGAAATAGATAGTTATCTCGCAGTGCTCGGCCGAGAAGATGATTTGGCCCTATTGAAGGCTCATAAAGTAAAAGCTAGCCGGGGCTGCTGAGATTCCATCACGAATCGATAAAAGCTAGAAAGAGATTGTCCAAAGTGCAACTTGCTGAAATGACCCATTTAGAGGGTTTGTAGCAGTTCCTTCGAAAAATCACTGAGCGGGTTGGTGAGAAAGAAGGATACCTATGAAAGTTTCATATTGGCGATGACCCAGGCGTTGGCAGGTAGGTTTCACGAAATCAGAAGAAAAAAGAAGCAAGATCTTCTAGAAGAGTTGAATTACCGGGGACGATAGCAGATGTGAAAACTGGGGATACTTCAAAGTTGGAGAGAAGAAAGAGAAGAGGGAGAATATGTGGAGGGTTAGGGCTAACGGAGTGGAAGGAACACTTGACACTCAAGAGGTCACTTCAGCATTATTCTCTTGGCAGTTCTTATTCTAGCTATACAGCTACACATGTGTTTTATTAGCCACTGGATCCGGTTTTCCTTTCCCAGGGGCCTTGGTCTTTGGTATCTACTTGTACAACTAGCCACACCCATTTGAATATGTTATCCATAGTACTTAGGTAAGTCAATAATGTCAAGGTAGTTTATCTTAAGAGGTCTGACTACGAATATAGAATCTAAGACCATGGTAAGCTAAACTTTTAGGCTATGGATGTTTGATTGTGTTTGATGTTTAGTGCGTTGGCTGAGCATGAGGTCTGCATATAAATATATGTACCAATGGAGACTGAATCATGGGAAGTGCTCGTGCACAGGAAGCAACTTGAAGAAGCTGCTAAGATCCCATCTGAATGGCAAATCCCGGAAGAACTGACCAAGATATCTGAGACATCTGGCATGAATGTGTTTGATGTTCCACGCTAGTCGGGAACATTGTCAGAAAGACAACTCGAGATAACTGAAAATTATGATGCAACTGCTCTTCTAGGCAAGATTCATCACCAAGAGCTGTCTGCCTATGAGGTCACCGAAGCATTATGCATTCGCGCTGCGATTGCCCAGCAGGTGGTATGTGTTAACTTGACTTCTCTTTTGTTTGAAATTAAAATGCTTAGCTAGCGGCTTACGATGAACTCACAGACTCGATGCCTCACTGAGACTTTCTTTGAGCGTGCCCTTCAGCGTGCAAAGGATTTGGATGAAATATTATTGAAAACGGGGAAACTTGTCGACCCTTTGCATGGGTTGCCCATTAGTTTCAAGGTACGATGACAATTCTGGACAGCAAACTTGGGCTTACTGATGAAATATAAAGGATTGCTTCAACATCGTTGGGATTCCGTCCACGATTGGATTTACCTCGTTTATTAAAAATGGCCCCCTCAGTTCAACTTCCCCGGCAGTTCAGATTTTGCTTAACTTGGGAGCCATCCCGTATGTGAAGACAAACGTTCCCCAGACAATGATGGTCAGTGGTGTTACAATCATAAACGTGTCACAATTGCTCAACTAGAGTTTTAGGCTGCGGACTCACACAACTACGTATTTGGCCGTACACTCAACCCCCACCGATCGAATCTTACCGCTGGCGGGTCAACTGGGGGAGAAGGGGCATTGATTGCTATGAGAGGATCGGTGCTGGGCGTTGGTACAGACATTGCTGGCTCCATCAGAATCCCGGCTATCTGCAACGGGATTTACTCATTGCGACCTTCTGTGGACCGCATTCCATACGGGGGACAGACTAGTTCTGCTCGCGGGGGTCTGGCGGGGATCAAGGCCTGCGCAGGACCCATGGCAACATCAGTCAGAGATCTGGAGCTGTTTATGAGACTCGTGACTAATGCAGACCCATGGCAATTCGATTCTTCCGCTTTGTTTTCTCCTTGGCGCACCGTTCCCCGTAAGTCCACCTTGCGACTTGGACTCATCCAGGAAGATTCCCATTTCCCTCTGCATCCACCAGTTTTACGAACTCTCACAAGAGCCACCGAAAAGCTTCAAGCAGCAGGGAATGAGGTTATTCCTCTCAACACCCTGCTTATTCGAGATGCCTGCACGTTGGAATTTCGTATGTTCTCGATGGATCCAACCCTCACTCCATTCAAGCACATTGCTGCTAGTGGGGAACCGACTATCCCTGCTTTGGAATCGACATCTCTGGACCATGGTTACATGCCACATGGGTATGCTCCGTTGACACTTGAAGCCCTGTATGACCTCAATGAGGAGCGGAATTATTTTAAGGAAGAGTTCCGAAATCTTATTATGCAGGCAAAGGTGGATGCCATTATCATGCCCGGCTATCAAGGTACCGCTCAACCTCATGACCGGTTTGGCTTTGTGCCTTACACTGTCCTTTGGAATGTGATGGATGTAAGTTACCTCTTCTTGTCTTATGCATTTATACTAACTCTCCGAAGTATCCGAGCTGTATCATTTCACATAGCAAGGCAAACAAGAGCGCCGACAAGGCGTTTATTCGGGATGTGAACTACAAACCTCCCTGTAAGTGTTATATTCCCCCCTATTATGATTGATGGATTTAGTGCTAATTGTGGATTTCCAGATGTTGCCGATGACATCGAGGGAGCTCCGTGCTGTGTGCAAGCTCGTTGGCAGAAAAAACATGCATGACGAGGAACTGGTGAAAGCGGCGGAACTTGTGTCTGAGATACTCAAGCTCTGAGCCATCTTGGCACCGATGCAATGAATGGCCTCCCAAGAAAGAAGGAATATTTCAATTTTCGAAATTCGCCTTAGATTTCTGCTCAAAATGTCAATAACATGGGTTGACGAACTAGCTGTAGATTATCCATGTAGGTAAATCAAATCTTACTTAGTCCCCTCCCTGTAAAAACGCAAGGGCAGAGGAAATGAGAAGAAGATTTGACAAGTGACCTCGGGATTTTTCCATATTAGGACATTAAGCAGGATAAATCCAAGGGAGAGACTCTCGTAGAACATATTTCCATCGACTGCCCTCGGGATATTTGGCCGCGAGAATGTGTCGTCAGTTCATGAAACCCCGCAAAATCAATTTCGTCGAGGAATTTCCACCAACTGGAGAAATGCATCTGTTCACCCACATCTGACTGTTATAAGTTCATGTAAAATCTGTCTTCTGCGGATAATGTTACTGTTTATATGCAGCTTTTACTCGGATCCTTATGATCCACACAACAATGATCATGATCTTGAAAGCAACCGGGGTGGCTCTCCTCAGTATCCTATCTTATGTTCAAGCATATCCTTCACGTTCCCTGAAGCAGTCGCCCAAGAGACCATTTTTTATTTTGGCAGGTGATAGCACCACAGCCCCTCAATCCTCAAACGGAGGAGGATGGGGGGACGGCTTTCTCAATACAACCCTTTTCAAAGGAGCCTCTGGTCGCAATCTCGGTCACAACGGTGCAACTACTGTTAGCTTTCGAGATGGAGGCGATTGGGACGAAGTTATAGGAATCGTGAAACAGGTTCGACATGACTATCATCCATTTGTGACTATCCAATTTGGGCACAACGATCAAAAGCCAGCTGCAAAAATATCATTGTCACAATACACCACCAATCTTGAAAAATTTGTGACCGAGGCTTTTGGTGCTGGAGCTACACCGATTCTCGTCACCCCTCTGTCTCGGCGTAACTACGATAACTCAACAGGCACACCGAGTATTCTCATGAGTCTCGCCAACGAGACCATGGGCACCATCAATGCCGCCTATCGCTCATGTGCTACATATATTGACCTGAATCAAGCTAGCACCCGATACCTCAATGCAATCGGGCCAGAAAATGCTTTTACTTACAACCTCAACCCAATGGACTATACCCATCTGAATGTTCCGGGGAGTATTCTGTTTGGGGGAATTGTGGCCGAACTGATTACCCAGAAACTTGATGCTTTGGAAAAGTCTGGATATCTGCGTGTGAATGGTAAACTTAAGGAAGATGTTGATCATGGGATCTACCACTGGCCTTAGCTCAACCGAAGATTATGACTGCGGGAACCATTTATTGTTCAAGAATACAAGGTGTTACCTCAATATCAAAGAAGTTATACATGCTTGTAATAATGTCCGCCCAGGCCTGGCCTAAAGGTAGGTCCCCACGGTCTCATAAATTTGATCAAATCAATATTGCCAGCTTCCCAATACTCCCATCGAAATGCAGATCAACGACATCTGGCTACTTCTCCTCTTAGTGAGCATGCCTTTGAAGGAATAAAGCCTTCATCGAAGGATATGTGCGCACTTCGAGATCCTCGGATAAAGCAGAAGTTCCATCTTTATTACGAATATCGTACTAGATAGATTGTGGTGTCCTTCCCTGAGCACGTTTAGCAAACCAAATGGTATTGACCCAGTCAATAGAGGCTTCGAAGCCCCCTCCTTGGTTGTGAATCAAAATTGTTGCATCATCTTCACTGTTGAATCTACGGTCAATGTCGATCCGTTCCTCCGGACCCCATGATATACCGATTTTAGCATTGAAAATTATTTGACTTTGAACTCGACGAATAGAGATATGGAAGATGATATCGTTCTCTGCATCTGTGATTGAAATCCGAGTCATGTCGATGCCATCGCCAGGCTTGTCAGGATCCACGCTTGACGACTCCAGGAGAATCACACTGTCCGTCTCGAGAGTCTGCTGCAAGTGGAGACTGCCATGAAGTGGTAGGTTTGCTCTGTGTCGTTTTGGTCTAATTGCAATTAGAGATCAAACTTCCATCTCCATTTCCCCAATTTTATAGGACTGGGAACCTACCGAGGAGCCGGAAGGTCAATCTTTGGCTTTTTCATCTCTGGATCTAGCGCTCCATCAGCACCACCGGTAATAGTAGGCTCTTTCTTGAAGTTTTCAAAGACTGGCGGAGTAGTGGGGTTGATGAAGTGCTTCGTGTCATTGCTGATGCCAATGATTTCTAAGTCCAGCTTCTCGGCCTTGTGGCGAGGTAATTCTTTCTCGTTATGTCAAAGGTCGGCAATATGCATACAATAAAGGGAATGGAGCAAATGACCGGGTATACTTGCTTTGAATACCCGCCAGTATGCACGCTTTTTGATAAACGCCAAAACCTCGTCGCGAGTGAAGGACTTCAGTTTCCGTTCACCCCTGAGAAGCTTGTAAAGAGCGGGGGTAATTGGGATGTAAGCGGTCGACTTGACACGCAATTTTTGTCCTTGTGTGCAGTTACCGCAGACTGAAGAACCATCCAACTTGGGCTTTTGGCCGAAGTTGTATACCTCGGCGATCAAATCTGTCAGTGGGGTTTGCATACCATCCTCTTGGGCAAGATATCACTTGACCCAGAAAGGTTGTCCTCACAATGCATATCTAGATTATTTACCATGATTAGCTATCGATTATTGTTGCCACAGGTCTTTGCCAAGGGCAACGTACTTCAAGAATCGAACACTGAAGACAAAGTCAGTAATTTTGAGCCCACCGTCAATTGCCTCAACACCCTCTGGGGTTGGAGCTTTAGGGTCCAATGCCAAATCATGCGACATACCATATAGCTTATTGACGATGGTGGCGATGTTTTCCTTAAACAGAACTTGGTTGAGTGTTCCGTCCTCTTGGCGGTACTTGCTGTCCCACAGTAGCAGCTCTGGATAGGAATATCCCAGATTGGAGGAGATCGGCCTCCATCCGGGGTCCAATAATTTCCTCCAGAATCACGTCGAAATGGCGGAAGAGGCGTGTTCCCATTCACAATAGGCTCTTTGCCAAATGAACCAGGGATGGTAGCATTGTCGGTATCAATGTTATCCATCCACTTGTCCGAGTTGAGACCTTGCCAGATTTCGAAAGACGATCGATGTTGCTATAAGTAATTGCCAATTAGAGATGCGTTCTTAGACGGTTAAAGAAGGTATACTTACTAGTGGCGCAGGAAGAACAACGGGTCAAAAGATGCGACTGGTACATTTCCCGTGTGTCCTGCAGCGCCTGTCCAGCCGTGACTTTGTAATAATGGTGTTAGTGTTTGGAGCGACGTGAATATCATACAGCACATGTAGAAATGGAAATTCCCCCTTACGACATTGGGGGGGGTGGAGTACTTACACATTGTTGTGAATCTAGCCAGATGGATTTCCGGTCAGTTCTTGTGATGCGATATATCAAATTCATATACTCATATATTCTATATTCAAGTCCCCAACGACATTCTGATCTTTGGAGGTTGGGTTAGTGCTTGCAAAGGTGGTGTAGTCCATGGGCACAGTAAGTAGTCGATACACCATTTCAGCCGCAGGATCATGATTCTTGCCATTTTATCCTGCGTGAGAGTTGAAGGCATCTGCTACTTCGCGGTTATTAACCACACCGTGCCGCCAGCCCTCACTGGTTGGATTCTGGTCCTCTTCGTCCGGCCAACGGCTGGTTCCGATTGCATTGCCAAACTGATTGAGTTAGCGCGTCCGTTTCTACATTGCCTATATCATACCTACATTCTTGTACTCTTCCTGTTCTGTGTCTTTTCCCCTTGTGTTCTCAGTACCGACGCCCTCACTTCGCATCGGCTTGCCTGTAGGCATCCGAAACTGGAACAGAGGATTGTGGATTCGAACAGATCCACCCTCGGGCCTAGGAACAGTGATGGTAGGGTTTTTTGCCAAGTCAGGGATACGGCCATTCCATACCCAGTCCCAGAAGGGCAGACGCCACGATTCAGCTTGTCCACGCCAGGACGCTTGATGGGGTTCCGGAAATTGAGGGATAATCTCCCTAATCATGATGTCATACACGACTTGCTAGAATGTAACCAGTAACGGATTTGTGTAAGATAGGATATTTTCGTACCTGGAAAAGAAGCACATAAGGCCGTTTCCAAATGGGAAATATCACACGAGAGTGGAAACAGTAGGCGTTTTTAATGGGCTCTGGGCTAGGATCATCCCATCGTACAAATGGTTGTCCATGACAAGTCAATCAACGTCCATGGCAAAACTGCAGGATTGTGAATATAGTGGGAGGACCGGACAGGAAAATAAAAAAACTGGATCTTGAAGTGATCAAATGAGAGAATGGAGAAGAGACTAATCAAGGGACGAGGATCATCATTTGTTCGACACGCATCATTCTGATTGGATCCAAGGAAACCAGTTTGACATCAAAATATACCCATATTTCAAATCCCAATACAGATAATGATGGCGAAGCTGAGTGGATGAATGGCAAGGAAATGCTTTGGTGGATGAGGGAGAGATCTTTCGAAGGGGGCTGGAGAGTAAATTGTAGGCCTCGGGCAGAAATGTAACATGCATTTATTTTTTGGTTTTTATTCTATAGTAGTCGACTTGTACTGAATGAGCTAATATTCACTGGAACATAGCACTTGGCATGGGCAATATCGCTCTTTTTCATACTCCGCTCAGATGTCAAATCCGCAACCATCAACTTCAGATCACAAAACCTTCCATGCTTCCATATCACAAATTGGCAAATCTGATGCCGGACTTCTGAGCCGTAAAAGTGGAGATCAGGTCCATCAGCACTGGGGACAGCACGTCGTATGTCTGCAAGCCCACTGCCTTAAATCTGGCTCTCACTTCATCCATTTCTTCGGGGTGTGAACCCTGTTCAATGATCGATGAGACGAAACCAGCAAATTGCGGTTCCTGCCAGCCCTTTTCATCGGACAACTCCACGTGGACAAAGTCAAGACCCTTGAAAGGATGGTCCCTCTCGATACGCCCGAAGAGGTGCACACCGCAGTCCTTGCAGGCATTGCGCTGGATGGTAGCCTCTTTGTCCACAACCGAAAGCTTTGATGCATTCGCTGTCACCGAGACAGCGTGACGGGGTACAACGCCAACAATGGAGAAGAGAGAACCAGATGGCTTCCAACACTTGGAGCAGCCACAGGCGTGGTTGTGAGCAACGTTGCTGTTCAGTGTAACCTCGACCTGATCGGAGGCGCAGTGGCAGTGGAGCTTTCCCCCGGAGAAGCTATTGGAGCCTTGTGTGATGCCATTATCAATCAGAGGATGGATAGAGGGTGCCATGCTGAGGATGCTATGTAAAATGGAGTGAAAGGTTTAGAGCAAACGTCCCCATTTATATGTATCAGCTTCAAACATCAATGTTGAAATCCCCGCACATCTCCTCACGAGGGGTAATCGGGGGAGTTATCTTGTATTTTGTGTATCCAAAGGATGCTATAGGTGGAATTGATGCTAATTATGGGGCAGATTCTAAATGGGGAAATAATTTCCCTACTTTTTTTGAGTCTCGGGATCTATACCGATCTTCTTTTTTTAGGAAATTCGTGAGGGGTAAAGTTGTGTAAGTCTTATTGTATACTCTGTATTATAATCCCAGGTAATGACAGTAATGGCCAAGGATATATATGAGACGTCAAGTCAAGGTCATTGTTTAGGCTCATAGAGTTTTCTATTGTTCCAAGGTTAAGGCTGACAAAGATGACCCCCACCTGCAGGGCCGGGCTGGGTGAGCAGGCTTTGATGAATCTCCCATCTTTTTTGAACTTTTGACTTCTTAACTCATTGATAACATTAAATCCTTTTCAGCTTCTAACCTCTCTATGACCAAAATCCTGGAGACTTCCATTCCTTGTCATGACGTCATCGAGGAACGGGCCGCGCGAACAGTTCAGGTACAGTACAATGATCATGGTGTGGCGATTTCTACTGACCGTCATTACTAGAGAATCTATCGTGGCTATCGAACGCGACGAGAGCTGCATGGTCTCGGTTTAGCTGCTTCCACTCGATGGGTTGAGGTAAGGGTATATCTTGCGTGAAACTGACCAAGAGTCTAATATTGTTTGTCTGTCCCCCCTAGGCTTTTCAAGAAGCCCAGTGGCATCAACTGCATCAACCACCCGAGCTTCGTGTGGCACCCGGAAACGACGGTTTCGACCGAGCTCGTCGAAACTGGCAACGAGCGGTTAGTGTCGCGCGGCGCGTCGGCGGCGACGATTGTGTCTCCGAAGTTTCGTCTTCCACGGGGAATCGAGAAGATAATGCAGAGATTGCATCAGGGGCTACTGCAAAGATGATGGATCTTCAATACTTTCTCGAAATTGTTGATCTTAAACATCGACACGGTAGCAATCTGCGCTCGTACCACACCTATTGGCGGAATTCATCAACAAACGAAAATTTCTTCTATTGGTTGGATCATGGTGATGGAAAAAGCATTGAGCTTCCAAAATGCTCACGAGAAAGACTTGAGAAAGAACAAGTACGCTATCTCACCCGCGAGGAACGTTTGAATTATATGGTGACGGTAGACGAGGCTGGCCTCTTCCGGTGGGCCAAAAACAATGAACCTGTGTGGACAACTACCGCACATTTCAAAGATAGTCTCCAGGGGATTGTGAGAATCAAGGATGATGTGCCTCAATTCAGTGGAAACTCCATAACCTTACAGCCAGATTCCACCTCGGGCTCACCACCATTGCCATCGACACCAGCTTCTTCTTCTTCTTCTTCTTCTTCATCAACATTATCATCATCATTGTCATCAATATCAACACCTGCAAGCCAGAGCTTTGACAGTGTCACCCCAAATCAAGACCCGAAATGTTTCACCGATGAGTACAAAGCTACGAAGATGATAAAAAAGGTGATGCACGCAAGCCCCGCTGCTGCATTTAAGCGGCGCTTGGGCCAGTCCCCAGAGAAAGAAGATATGTGGTTATTCGTGAGTCTGAGTTGGATTATGGTTGTTGAATGCAGACTAAGCCTCTCTTAGGTTGCAGATACTTCTTTTCGTTTGTACATTGGCATAAAGAAACCAGGCACCTTTCAACATTCATCCTTTCTTCGAGGTGCCCGTATCGCAGCAGCTGGAATGATTAAGATCAAACACGGCCAACTTCGAAGCCTGGCACCACTGAGGTGGGTTCAATCAAAAACTTTCAACCTGATCATTGCCCGAAGGGGCAGGCTAATGTGTTCAGTGGTCATTATCGCCCTCCAGCTGCCAATTTCAGGGCATTCCATCACGCCCTACAGCAACAAGGTGTTGATATGTCCCATGTTTCCATGAGCAAGTCTTATATAATGCAGGCTGGGATTGAAGGTTACACAAAAACGAAACGAAAGGCGCGTGCCGTACATAAGAAGCTTGGCAATTCCAAGGAAAAGTTCCATCAATCCGAAGAATGAGTGTGGGGGGACACATGATTCATATCCCTTGCTATCCTAGCGGGCCGAATGAGATACGCTAATTGTCATGTTGCTTGTTGTCTAATTGAAGGCTAACATGGAAAAGTCGGAGTGTAGAATTTGAAGTCTTTTCACACTCGGGTTGCATAGCTTTGTGACACTTTGACCGCATATGGGTACAAAGCCCATATTGATGTACCGCTGGAAGAAACAATCGAACAACCTAGGCATGGCGACGTTGCGCAGTAGAAGTCTGGCGGTCATGATCGGGAGGCCCTATACAGATCAAGACGCTCGCAACTGAGGCTTCAACGTGTCTTGCAAAGCGGGCCATGTGCACATGAAAACCCAGTGCGGCAGGGACGATCCGATTATGCACGATTTGATGCCCTTTATCTCTGTCCTGGGCAGCGACGTGATTCTTCGCCAAGCTTCTCCCAAGCTTAGCTTCTTGAGACAGGCAGCAATGATCCATTGTATCGCGCATCATCAGTGGATCTCTGAGTCGGATCTATCATGAGCGCGGGCCGATAGTCCACTAGCCGATGGGCAGTCCACAAATTGCGGTCCTGCATAAGTACAGCTTACTAGACATTTATAGTACAAACAGAATGCGAGATTTTCAACCATAGGTTGAATTGTGTGGCGAATAATATAATCTTGAACGTTCCAAGTTGCCCAGTTGGGAAAATTTCCGTGACTTACATAATCCGAGTCCAAACCCCTCGGGCCAAATTCCTGTGGACTGGTCGACTGGAATTGTGAATTCATGCACTCCCGTATCAACTCTATATAAAACAATGGCCAAGTCCAAAGCGGCTAAGCGCAAGCGCAACGCACAAGTTGATCTTCCACAAAAGCTCCCCAAGGCAGTCCCGAATTTAACCCCGCCTCCTGATGGTGTAACCGCCGAGTCGACACATCTCAATGCCGTCGTTTCAGACGAGGAACTCGACATCACAATCGAAACGCTCGCGGCGCTTGCGGAACATCCTAGCCTGACAAAGTCGAAGGCATGCAGGGACCTCCGAGTCGCCGTGTACGACTTCCGGCAGGCATGCACTACGGGTGTCAATACTGCCGGTATGCTGTGTTGTCTCCACTAAAATACTATAGCTAATCATTCGATAGAGGGCGCCAACTTGACAGCGCGAATAACCGGTGCGTTGGCAGACGAGAAATACATTGAAGCCAAGATCTTGCTCGCCGAGATGAGGATTAGGGGGAGCAACCCAAGATCGGAGCCTTGTGTCGCTGGGTGCGAGACTTGGATGTTGTTAGCGGCCTTTCGACACAGCCGAAAGCACACGACCATGTCCCCCTTAAGCGCAGTGTTAAGGAGATGGAAATTCTCGGTGTCCTTGATGCCATCCTGCGCGTCAGCACTCCGATTGACACCAACACGAACGCCGTTGACTCAACCGCTCCCATCACCTTCCAGTCCACCTGGGATCTCCGCCCCTCGACAACACCCCTCCCGGTCTATTCCTCAGTCCTTGACAAATCGATTTTGAACGAGGCGCCCAAGTCTTCATCCGCCCTCCGCGTCATCGAACAAACGCCTGGCCCACTCCGCAAACCACCAAACCACCATCCGGCCATCCTCTATACCACCGCCCCCAACGCCATCCCACTGGCTCCCGTCAGTCCTACTATAACATACCACGCACATCCCGCAGTGCCAGGCCTTGGTCTTGCCCTCAATGTGCTATCCGACGCTGAGTGCAAGGCGATCATCGCTGCTGGTGAATCTGTCAATTTCCTGCCCGACGCGCCCCTACGCGAAGATGGAGACATAAGCATTCTAGCCCACAACTTTTACTGGATCATTGACACCACATTCCACGACATGCTGTGGGCGCGAATTTCCCCGTATGTGCCACAGTCGATAAACGGTCGCTTGGTCCGAGGCATCAATCGTCGGTTCCGCGTGTACAGGTACGTTCCCGGCGCCGAATATCGGTGCCACATTGACGGAGCCTGGCCACCGTCCGGTATTCTCCCAGATGACACATACGTGTACGACTCTTCGCCGGAGGACAAGAAGCAGAGCTCTATGTACACCTTCCTATTATATCTCAACGATGAGTTCGAGGGCGGAGAGACGACATTCTTCATGCCAGCCCCGCGGGAGGGAACGCTCAATGGATACCCGGTGCGACCTGTGATGGGAGCTGTTGCAATATTCCCGCATGGGGAGTCGAATGGAGCCTTACTTCATGAAGGTACAGGGGTAAGGAAGGGGGCAAAATATATTATTAGGACTGACGTAGAGTATGATGTGAAGCCTTGCGAAGAGTGATGATAAATATATGAACTGTGTAGACTTGGCCTTTTGTCATTAAAATGCATTGAAATGCGATCGAAAAATGCCGTGTAGGAAGCGTTTAACAGTAGAAATGAGAGCCCAGGAGGTATGTATTTTATTGATCTCCACTAGTAAGAGCTGGTAGAATGACATCCCTTTCGTCTTTCTCATTAGAATTTGAACTGATGACACTGAATGCCTGTATCCTTTGAAGATAGGTACATGGTGTACCTTGGGATGCCAACCTGCAAGGTTCTTTTGCTTCCAATAGTCTTCGAGAATCGCGCTGGAAATCGCAAGGGGTTTCGGGAATAATCATATTCCATTTTTGACACATGTGTAGGGAGGTTGTTCTAGGCTTCCTGTTTATCATGTGTGGAGTATACAATCTATAAAAATACATCGTATTCAGAGAGAAAAACTTCCTAGTCCGACAACCCTTATTCGCTGGTCCAACTGACGTTCTTTATTGGTCAAAAATTTCCACGTATTTGTCGACATGTAACGAGAGTTCTTACACTCTGCCTCCTTTTCAGCGCATCTTTCAATGGCGGAATGGGATGGAGTCCAGATACTTCACAGATGTCTTGGGGACCAAAAGTTTGAAAGAAATTATGGCTGGATCTAAGCCAAAACCCCTTTTACGATAAACGAAGTAAGAAATTCTTGAAAAACCCTTACATTTTAATTATGAATGAAGAAAAACAGAATGTGGGAGAGGTCGGAAGTAACCATAGACATGCTATATTTTCAAATCCCACTGGGGCAAGGCCACTTATGCACATATTGAGAGTATTCCAAACCGAGCGGGATAACCAGATAGGGACAATATCAAATATAGGTGTTTTGCAGGATCTTTAACACCTACGTACAATATATCGGTTTAAATGAAGGTGGTGAAAACAACCCAAAGTATCTGAGATAAAAGGATGAAGCAAATCTAATTCAGAAGCGTACAAGTATATAAAAGAGAAGAAATTTCATATTTACAAATTCCATGGTCCAACCACGACATTCCAGATCCTTTCCAAAATCAGATACTGCGAATTTATCTAGTTGGAACGCAGTTCAGTGTTCTCACGCCTTGACCTCCTCGCTAACAACAACGTCACTGGTGCTAGTATCACCACTATCGGAGTTCGATTCGCGCGCCTGCAGTGCACGCTTTTGCATAGCGCGAGCTACCCGAGGGGGATCAAAGATGGACTTTGATTGAGCGAAGATCTCGTCGATCTCCTCCAGTGACCGCCCTTTGGTCTCGGGGAAAAAGAAGTACACGCTGGGCACGATCGCAGCGTTGACAACGGTGAAGATGATATAGTACCGATTTCCGATTGTGGCGAAACCGACAGGAGTTACCTGGGCTATCATAAAACTGAAAGCCCACACGGTGGCAGTGGATACGGCGTTGACGGCGGCGCGGACCTGAAGAGGTGCCATTTCCGCGGCGTAGAGGAATGTTAGGCCGCAGAAGCCAACCGTGAAGATAAATTGGAAGCAGAACAGGAAAACCACGGCCATAGCTAGGGCCCCTGTGTTATTAGCTGCAGCGGGGGAGGTCGTGCCAGCGAGGCCTGCCATACAGATTGTCATGGCTCCAGCGCTCCACAACATAAGCGGGCGGCGGCCGAGGCGGTCGATGGTGAAATAGGCCAGGTAGCCACCCAATGGTTGCATCATTGTCATCGCAGCAGCAAGAACCCGAGAGTCCACGGCGTCCATTCCAAGGTACTGCTGGAAGATCGTTGTGGCGTAGTAGGTGATCAGATTCACACCACACATCTGCTGGAACATCTGGCCCGTGGCAGCTAGATATGCACGGTGGAAGAGCCGTTGCTCGCCGTTTTTGAACATGTCCGTCCACGCCCCCGGGCAGTAAGCAAGAGATGTCTCGATGCTAAGGATGTTTTCGTTGACCTCATCCGAATGCTCATCAACATCGAGCAATGCCGCGAGTACCTTGCGGCCTTCCTCCACCTGTCCATCCTTGATAAGCCAGCGAGGCGATTCTGGCAGCATTGCGATGAAAAACATCGCCATGACCGGCATCACGATTTGGAAGGCGAGAGGGAACCGCCAAGAGACCGAGTTATCTTTGATGAAATAGAAACCCAAATCAATCCACAGGGCACCAGTCACACCAATTCCAATAAAGATGCCATTCGTGACGACGTTGGATCCTCTCTTATGCGCTGGCGAGAGTTCAGATTGCCAGACCGGGACCGTCGCCACATATCCACCGATGCCCAAACCGAGGACCAGTCTCGCGACGATAAATTGGGCAAAATCGAACGAGGTTGCCATAAGGATGGCGCCGATTATACTGATGAAGTTGGTTATAAAAATCACCTTACGTCGGCCCCAGAGGTCGCCCAGGTAGATGCATGACAGGGCGCCAAAGATACCTCCGACAGTATAGAGGGCGATGACGGTGCCTGTTGGAAGATTCCATGAGTTGAATAGCCAAGACTTGTCTGATCAATGAACCAACCTTGCATTTGCGAGTTCTCTTTGTAGAGTGCCCCGTCGGTATGCATTGTGTCCATTTTAGGAAATTGCGAATTGAAGGCCTCGAGCGTTAAGAGACCACCAGTCACACCCATGTTGTATCCATAGCAAGTGAAAGTTGGGCACACGACAAAGAAGAGGGCAGCCCGGAGAAGGGCATTTCCCCGAAGGCCAAAATACGGCTTCAAACCCATGATTGGAACTACATACAAAAAGGTCAAAAAGTCCAAAAGCAAAAAAAAAAATTGAAGGAACCGAGGCGGTGGCAAGAAATTTTAAGATCGCCAAGTAAAGCAAATTACTATTTGGTTACATTTTTTTTTTATGTGGGCCACTATGTGTGCTCGCTTCTTGGTGGATCCATTGCGATTTGCTTTGGGTATTACTATGAATAATATTTGGTCTTGATAAGCCTTGAAGGTCCAATGGTACATTTATACTTGGCATGTACCCCGGAGGCTCACTCGGGATTTTCCAACCCTAATTGATTCCCCACAATTCGTGTCAGCCACATGGCCTAACTTGACTTTGGCTTGTGCACATGTGGAAAAATATATAAAGACCGTCATTATATTCCATATAACGTCATGAGTGCACTCCTTCTGTTCAAAGAACTGACACGTAACATCCCGCAGATATTCCAGGGCCCCGTGAAGGGTGATAGCCCACCCTTGGCCGCGCGCCTCTAGATTTTCATCAAGCTAGCAAATTTCGAAGGGAATTGCTTTACAAGAGTTCTTCACCCCCACATTCTTCTATATTATATAATGGCAGTGCCAGTGAGTAAATCACGGCATATCTTTCACGAAGACATCATTAGGTGACATCAATGCGCCTTCGTAACCGAACCATCGATAAAAGGAGGGGGCAGACGACGGACTACGGATGAAATACGAGCTGATATCCATATTTATATTTCCGTCGGGTATCTTCACAATAGTGATGGTATCTATTCAGACTCAAATATTTGCATTTTCATGATACACATCGATACATGGGACCTAAGTAACTGCTCATTCATAGTTATCTTTGTCAAATACTCATATCAACGCTGTTCATCCCCCTCTAGGTATAGTTTAAGTTAACACCTGTGCTAGGCTCGAGGAGCAGCCCTGTAGTCTCCAGATATCTAAATTCTGCAGCCAGTAGTAACGGGTTTGGTATGTCTCTCTGTAGGGAGACCTCATTCTAATATGAATTTCAAATTGTCTAATAACAAAACGTACTAGTAACGTGTGTCACATCCGAGTCGTCCAGACATGCGAGGCGTCCACATTCCAGTTGTCTACACATAGTAGAAGCGATTTAGTTATAATTTATATTCCAAGAAACAACGTTTTATTCTATTTCATGACTTGCCGATAGCAATCGATAAGAATTATATTATAAGAAATAGTTTATCTAAATAACTGTTGTTGTACTATTATGCTGTATTTTATCGCTTTTACTATGTGTTATGGCGTGGACCACTCGCATGTGAAATACATTAATATATCGGATATCACAAACGTTTAACACCAGAGTTATTTAATTACTATGCAAGATAATAGATGTGTGAAAACTTATAAAAGGCTCTCTATCTCGAGTGTTCTGAAGTGATCTCCATCATCTTCATCCTCCATTATTTAACTCACCACTTATCAGCACTCACTGCCAGTTTAACTCCTAAACCACGTGCCCTACAATTAGTCATGAAGGCCATTTACTCCGCCCTCACCTTCCTTTTCCCGGGTTCCAGCTGAGGGGGTCTAGAAAAGACTTGGCAGTAGTTTAGCTAATCCTATGGAATTTGTCATAGATTCCCCAGAAAGGACACTAGCCTGCTGTAGAGCGAATAACGGTGTTAGTCACTTAATAACCTGTATACTAAGGTCTATATATCAGCTGACATTTTTATAGGTGTGCGGTGATAAAACTAAGGGTACCCCATATCGCGGGAAAGGCCGTACGATCCTTTGGTGAGTGCTCTTAGAGCTTGAACCACTATCTGACATCCCTATACAGCTTGCAATATCTCCGGATATGACTGTGAAGGCGGATGTCGCTAAGCGCTAAGTGCTATTTAGTCTTCTATGCGTGCAGCGTACTTGACTTATTCTATATATCATTCAGATATAAAGTCTTCATACTGTACGGGTTACTTTATTTTGCCTTGTTATAAGTTTTCCCCTACAGCATGGTTTCCCTATATCTTAGTATTTTTTGCTGTTTTAGATCGAAACTATAGTTTATGGTGGCATTTAATAGTTTAGGTTTACGAACATGGTCGAAGTTATAGAAATATATTTTAAGTAACACTAATGAGAACTGCATGATAAGATACAAGAGGAACACCTGAAATTATAATAAGAGATTGTATAAATTAGGTTCTACTATGAGATAGAAGAACTGGAAGGAGAACCTAAAAACTAGAGAGTATCTTAATGTAAAGAATAGTAAGTGGTCAGGCTAGTACCTATTGACTAGGCGAGAAATGATAGTGGAGG